ATATTCAATTTCTTATGTTATATGGTGTGTATGTTCAAGGTATTGAATCAAATCGAGGTATCGAGTTTTAGAGAAAGATCACGATAAACAATGGTCTTAAGTGAATAAAGTAAGTGTAACTCACCCACACCATGGACGTAAATTCTATGTGTTTTTATGTGATTGATGTGATGTGATGGTCTTGAGGTGTATTTATATACATGTACATATTTTACATGTTGATTGAAAGAAAATATTTTAAGTAAACGAATGAGGTCATTTTTTTAATGCATATTAAGGTTTAACGAGTTGATGTTATTTATCGAGGTATAAATGTTGATGTTTAAAAGTTAAGGTTTTGATTATTAAATATTGAGGTTAATGTTTTTATGTACGTTTTTATTGAGGCTAGACCCTACTAACCGATGTTAGTATCTTCTAACGGCCCAAATAAGGAAAAGAATTTTGAAGACATTCATGTACAAAACGTTTTAATGTAAAATCATGTATATTACACCGATTGGGATATTCGTATCTCACATCCATTATGTGGTGTCGGTAATGATGCAAATGTTGAGGATGTTAATATCGCTCCCGATGACTAATGACTTATGTGCTTGCTTTTGCATGTCCCTAACCATTAGGTTATGCTTTAAATAAATCTTTATTTTTAAAAGAATAAATGTAAGGACGTTAAGCTTATGAATCTTGGGAATGTTTACTTAGAATTTAAGTATGAACATTGAGACAAGATTATTTATGAATGTTAATTATGGCGAGAGATGTTTTTATAAATGATGAAATTTTAGAATAACAATTTCACTACATTAATGAGAAAATCTTATGATCATATATTATTAAAGACATATTTTAAATTGATATATTTAAAGATAAATAAGATTAAATTAGAAACTTAATTTTAAGAAAACTAAAAGGATAAAGGTTTTAGTATCGACCCGTTCGATCGTAACCCTTCAAGTGATGTATCTTGATCGACGGGGGTTACATTTTATATCTTATGCCCTTCGTCAACAAAATTGTATAGCTTATAGGTTAGCTAATTATGCTTACACATACTTAGGTCATTGTGTTTTTTACCATGTTTTGGATCTTCCCATAGATATTCTCCTAATCTCCCCTTTTTTAAGGTAAGCTTGGTATGTGCCCCCCCCCCCCAAATGTTTTTTTTCCAAGTTAATAAAATTTGCTAGGCCACCATTCCTATTTCTTTTTCTTAAAAAAATACAAGCTTGATTAATACTTTTAAAATAATTTAGGAAATTAATTAAAAAATATTATCACATCATTAATTATGTTAATTTAATAGATAGAACAGAATAATTGAAACATGATAAAAGTCTAACTCATTTTATTTTATTACATAACTAGCAGATATCATTTGACTCTTTCCTTTCTCCAAGAAAAAAACATAAATAAAATCTAGTAGCCATATCTCGAAACATCCAACGACCACTAACATTTCGGTAAAATAATCCTAAAAAAAAAACTACCATAAAAATAATTAAGCAATGTCCATTCATTTAGTCAAACTCCATCATTTGTTTGATTTTCGGTTCATTAATTTCAACAAAAGAAGATTTTATGAAAAATCTTCCTTTATTTGAAATCTTTTTTGATCGCATAGGTATATTTGTGGGAATTCTATCAAAATTGAAGTTAGAGAATACCTCACCGAATGAGACTAATTGAATATAAATATGCAATGTGTAAAATAAAATAAAAAATTACATAGTTCAAATTTGAGATCTCAAACTTAATGAGTCTTTCTTTTACCATATAAACTAATTTTTAATGTCCCAATAAATCTTTGTGCAAGCAAATTTCTTGCACTTAATTAGTTGAGGAAAAATGTGTGGCAACATAAAAATTAACAATCTCATGTTTTAAACCTATAAAATTTCATTAAAAAAAAAACCTAGTAATTTACTATTATCGGCTATATATAGATAATAGGTATCTCACAAGTCACGAAGTCCCACCCACTTACTATTTGATAAAGTATATATAGCAATGAGTGCCTAAAAATATTTATATATATCTTGTCAACCTAAACACTTTGCTATTTTCATCACGAGAGAAAGGTTTTTTTCATTTCCAATCATTGATTTCTAATGATTTGGTACCAAAGTTTGATTTGTTATTTATTTTAGTGCCCGACTTACCCGAGGTTCAATTTTGTCGATGTGTTGGGCGAGAGCTACCACATGATAGTTAAAAAGTGTCACGTGGTAGTAAACTCCAAACACGCTAGCACCTCATACTCTAAAGTGGTTGTGGGCACTCAAAGGGGGAAAAAATATTAAAGGTTAGGCATTGAAATAGAAAAAAAATAGAGGTTAGGCACCTAAACAAAAAAAATAATAAAATCAATGGTTGGACACCGAAATGTAGTTTTCTCACACCAAATGTATATCCTATTCTTGTAATCTTATCTATCATTTCTTATTATAAATAGATTTCATGCATATCTTGTGCTTTTATAATCTTTATATATAGATGGTACCTCAAAACTTTTTTTAGATATTGAAAGTCATATAATTTTAAATTCTAAGAACATCGGTAATTACATCCATGCATAATTTCTTGTTATTATACTAATTGTACAAGCAATTTTAACAATACATTCATTTTTAGCTTAATTCATAATTTACTTATTATTTCTATCATTATCGTCACCGTTACCAAAAGTATTGCACTTTAAACACCCAATTCAAAAAGTTTGATCACTAAACTTATTCATCTCGATTTTATCTCATCTCGGACTACTATAAAATATTTAGCAAGTTATTGGCCATAAAAATCTTATGTGACCCATTATATGTTGGTTGATCTTCTCCCAAGATAGAAGAAGAACTTTTTTAAAAAATTCCTCCATTGATCAACCATTTATTTCACAAATGACAATCATAATTAGATCTTATATGTTTTTTATTTTTCTGAATTTTCTTCTCATTGGACTTTATATATATTTGAATTAAATGATATAATATTAAATTTGTCTAGATAATTAAAAAGGTTTAGAATTTTTTAAAAATATTTTTTTAACACTCATACGAGTATTAAAAAATTACTTTTGATAAATAAAAAACGCCTTGAGAATAATATGAAAAATATTTAATAAAAATTATTGAATTGATTTTGTAATTTATAATAAATTTCTTAAAAAAATAATTTTTTTGGTGCCGAATCTTTAATTTTTTAGGCTTAAGTTTAATTCGGGCGTGGGTTCAATTCCCACTATGTCCTTTACAATTGTATGTTAGTTGCTTTTTTTTTCAAAATTTTTATTTTAAACTTTTATTTTTATCTTAAATAATTTTATTTTCGAATCAACTTGTGACGCCCGACCCTAACCAAATCCAAAAAATGATATTTTCAGGGGGAAAAAATAATAATGACATGCTATTGTTACACGTGTAGTGGGAATTCTTTCAACGGTTTTATCTCTTCCTCGTGCTTTGAGCCTCCTAGCCCAAAGCCAGGTTGGCAACGAACACTTGGGTCATCACTTATTCACTTATCAAGACAAAGACAAGAAAAATTTGAATATCCAGAAAAAAAAAGAAAAAAGAAAAAAGAAAAAAGCATTATTTTGGATGTGGCTGGTTGGCCACTTGATGGGTGCATTTACTGTTCTATCTAAAAAGCCACGCAATTGTTTATTTAGGCACAGCCCCACAACTCGAAAGTCCTCCAAAGTTCAAATCGGATATATGAACTCAATTAGGCAATTAGGCTCGATCACATTCACAGGCCTCCAGGGGCCGTCTTGTTTCTTATTCTTCCCCCATAATCAATAGCCCATCAATCCAAGAATAAGAGTAGAAATAGAGGGGGAAAAAAATTGCAAATTAATAGTTTGAATACCTAAATAACAATTTCTAGTATGGAATTTTGGATGTTAATCTCCTAATTCTTTCTGTGCTGTCATCATCTATTGCTCTGTGTTTACATTTGACACACTAAACAAATGGAGATTTTTTGGAGCAGTCCTAAAGTGAATGGTCCATTAAGCTTTACAGATTCGCATTGCTTTGAGTAGGCTTGAGGCTCAGAGGGGTTTGACAATGGTTGGGCTAGATGAGATCTAGCCTGGAATTCTATTTAGCAATAAATAGATTGGTGTTCTTGTTACTTCGTAGATTTAGCCCTACTGTATAAACTGTTTGAATGCAATTTTGATCATATAAACGGACCATTGATGTTTGGGTCAACTAAAGTACCATGCCAGCTCTATATAACCACCCAAAAGATAGAAATTGAGAAACTACTGATGTTTTATCTAATTTTCAACTCCATGCGGGACAACCAAAAAACGTTTTTCAATAAGGTCCCTAATGTGATGTTTTAGACAATCAATTGGGTCCTTCTTTCCTTTTTCTTTAGAGTTTCTATCAAACTTTTATCAAAGCAGTGCCATTTTGTTGCATACCAAACATTTGAACCAATTGATAAAATATCCTGTTTTGGCATGAAGTAATTACTTCTCGCGCATGTGAGTAGATCTCTTCAGTCTGTATAGGCCAAGAATGTGTCCATTGTCGAGCCCTTGAAATCCTGAATATCATAATTGACCATTTTCATGCTTGTAGACGAGTGGACGAAAGGGTGATAGCTCCCACTTTAAAGGTACTAGGAGTAGCGAAAACAACGATACGTAAGTCTATTCCATAAATGGGCTTAGACAAAAATTAACCATATTCAAGCTTACCTAAGCTTAGCCAATAAGAATTAAAAAAAAAAAAATCAAAACAACAACTATGAGCAGCAAACATTTAGGTCCATAACATCTCCTTATCCACCAAACAACAATATTAACTAATTAATACTACATTCTTGATTCTCCCGTTTGAAAGTTAGCTTAAACAGACTCTCGAAACCCTTAAACAAGTTGTTTAGCAGCTACTAACAGTACAAATGGGGTTTTAGTTTTCTTATGTCTTTTCCATGAAGAATAGTCTTTGGAAAGAAAACAACATCTTGGAGAGATATTAGCACTGCTAGGCGCTAGCATTATTGATTCCAGGGAGGGAAATGGAGAGGTTGGTGCTGGTATTACCATGAGAAGCAGCTTCCACATGCTTTCTTGAACGCTGGCGTCCTCTGTGTATGTGTCTGTCACAGTACTTTTGATCTGGGAGAGCCTCTTTGCTACACCTCCATTTCTTTCCATCCGTTCTCCTACATCTCCCGGGCTCAGGCTCCCTTCCATTCTTATATTCCAAATATAATGGGTTGCACCCCAGAACTAGACCCCCAACGGAACAAAAAAAAAATCAAATCTCTTTTAAAGATTAAGAAAAATAATTTACTTGGAAATTAGAGAATAGTCAAGTATTCATGAAAACAGACAAAGTACTTATCATCCATTTTGTAGTGATTAAGTGAGAGATACTCATCAAAAGAGAAAAAGAGAGTGAAAAAAAAAAACAAGTGTGAGATTTATGGGGAACTTACAACTAGGGTAGAGTTGGTACAAGCTTGAACTGAGGCTACCAAGGGAAGAAACAACACTTTTCCATATTGGTAAAATAAAATGGTAAGGTACAGGAAATCCAGCTTGGATATACTTGTAGATAAGAGACTGCAGTTGTAGCTCCTGCAGTTGAAGAACGGTGAACCCGTAAGTTTTTTTGCAGCCAGTTATTGGTCTTTGACTAGATTCACCACGTCCCAGCTCAAGTCCTAGGCCAATCGGAGGTGACCCAGAATTACCATCGCGCCTATTTCTCTCCATGTTCCAACCGTTTGCTAGTCCAGTCCCTACAAATAAAAAATAAAAAATAAAAAGAGTAAAAAATTGGTAAATGGTATCGTCAATTAGACTTTTTTAATTGAAAAAGAGAGAGATTGAAAAAATACAAGAGTAAGAGCATACTAGATTTTGAAAGACGGGCAATTTTGGAAGGTGGTGCTTGAGACTCCATTTCTTGCTTATGGGTATCAAAATGGTCAAAAAGAACAGAATCACGCTGAGTAAAAGAGAAATCCTATAATGAAATGTTCTCTGCAAGTCGCAGCAACAGTAGACCTCAAAGTCAGAAATTTAACAGTAGTGATAATAAGAAAACGTAAGAAATTGCCTAATTGGCATCTTCTCTTCTCCGTCACAAAGGATTTCCCTTTCATCTTACGACAATAAAAATATGTGTGCTCTGAATAAAGACCAGAAATGTAACAGTAATGACAAACGTACAGGCTTGTCTTTATATGCCCACCTATTTAAGAGAGAGAGAGAGAGAGTAAAGTGAGACAGAAAGTCCGCTGAAATGTCAGGTTTTGTCAGAAACACAGGCGTTTAACAGAAGGTGACAAATAGTAGGGAGTACCTACATGAGCATTTCATAGACTTTTGTTGGCTTGTTGGAACAGCTTCATCACAATCTCAACTTCTATTGAGTGAAGCCCACTTCTCAATCATGTCCCCTTGGCTACATGCCATAGGAATGTGGTTTATCCTGTGTTTGGGTAGAATAAATCTAGTAAGGGTCGCAGGGAGAGCGGGAGACAAAAACAAGTGAAGAATTGAGAAAGTGCATGAATGGGGAAAAAACAAAATTTAATGATGCCAAAAGTTTTGGTCAATAATTACTGTTTATATGCAGCTCTTGCCTTCGTTTCTTCCTTTCTTTATTTTCTGGATCTTGCTTTATGTGGGCATTGCTTAACTTTGGATCAATATAAGGCAGAAGGAGATAGAAAAAAATTCTTAAAACTCTGGCTTACTCGAACCGTAGAACTTTAGTTGCTAGACTGATGTAATTAACATTAACATTAACCAAAAAAAACTAAAAGAGAATGAACGTTAATTATTCATTTTTCTGTGCATTCTACTGTGCACATGGACACAAAGGCACTTTGAATATACATTCATTTGTACTGTACTGTACTTTTTACTTTAGCTTTTCGCTAGATCTTTAACTCTGCTACGTTACATTACGGATTAGGTAAAATTAATTTAAAAATTATTACAGTTTGATAATATACGATACGTCACGAATGTATTAAAATATATTAAATTAAAAAAATAAAATTATTACAATCTGATAATATATAGTATGTCACGAATGTACTAAAACATGTTGAATTAAAAGAAACAAAATCATCTAATTTTATATTTTTAATAAAATTTTTGTATTTTTTTCTTTTTAATATCTTTCATATTAACGAGATAAAACTAATAAATTAATTTAAAAATTATTATAGTTTGATAATATACGGTATGTCACTAATGTACTAAAACATGTTGAATTAAAAAAAAAACCAAATCATCTAATTTTATATTTTTAATAAAATTTTTGTATTTTTTTCTTTTTAATATCTTTCATGTTATTTGTTATTAAAAAAAATTTGTTCTTCCTTATTCATCAATTCTTAAATAAAAACCTATGATAATATAAATTGAAAAGTAAAAAAAAAAAACATCTTAATATTTATTTTTATAAAATTGCATCAAATAGAAAAAAAAACAATCAATATAAAAACTTGTATAAAAATTAGCAAATGAATTTTTTTTTATGTTTTTGAAAATGTATACATTTGATTTATAGATATTTATTTATAAAATAATAAATAATATTAGTATAAAAAAGATGCAACTGAATTATTAGATGATTCTTCCAAAAAATTATTTTAATTGATTTATTTTAAAGAAATTAATTTTATAACATTTGAAAAAAAAATTAAATGCAAATTATTGATGTTATATGTGTAGATGCACAAATAATATTTAATAAAACCAATGATATTAATTGTTTTATGCATCATAATCATACTTAATAGGTCGAGTATGCATTATAAAACCGTGAAGAATATATTGCAAAGTATTTCAAAAAATTAATTTGTAAAAAATATATTGAAGTTAATGAAGCGTAATAAACATAACTAAAAAAAGTTATTTCAATAAAATTTTGTTGTACAAAGAATAAGGAAATAAAACACATAAATTTTATAATTTAATTGATAATTTATTTAAAAGAATTTAAAATTTCATACATATAAAAAAAAAATCATATTTATTAATAAAAAATACATAAAAAACTTGATGAGAATTTTCATAAACTTTAAATTAAAAATATAATAAGTTAAAAATTATAAACATAAAAAAAAAGGAAAAAGAAACAATTTGGAGACAACCCCATTGAATGCTTAGACAAGAAAGAAATGAAATAGCAAGAGGGGGTCTGGAAGAGAGGAAGAAACAAAACTCATTAAGGACAAATTAGTAAAACACTAAAAAAAGAGATGTAGGAGGAAAAAAATGGAAGAAAAATCAAATGGTGGAGAACAAAAGCAAAGAAGGTGAGGAAAAAAGAAAAGGCAAAAAGGAAACAATTCGTGAACAGTTAAAGGAATAGTATTTTTAGTCCGTGTTTATAGTGATTTATGTCACGATAAATAGTGTTTCAAACAATAAACTATCATTTTAATTTAGTTTTTTTTTTTTATAATGTTGCATTTTGTTTTCTAATTGTTTACATTTAACTATTATTTATATATTTTAAGGTTTTTGGCGACCGATAGCCTTTTTTTTTTTGCTTTATTATTTGTTTTACATCTTTTTTCATGTTATTTTTTTTTATGTCATTTAGTGGATTTTACTTTTTTAACTTGTGTTCATTTTTTAGCTTTTTATTTATATTGTCCTTTTTTTTTGTCATCATGATTTCTTCATTTCTTTCCTGTACTTCTCTTTTATTCCTAATTTTCTTTTATGCCATTACATGCTTTATACTATTAATTTTATGCTTTTATTAGTTTTTCCTCTCTTTTTATTCTCTAGCCTCTTTTTTTTATCATTTTCTCTTCTTCTTTATGAACCATTAATCGTACATGCCTTTGGTTTTTTCCCCTTTTTTTTTCTTTTACTTTTAATGATATTTTTGTTTTCTTTTGGTTTTTGATGTGTGATCTTTTGTTTGGTTTGGTCATGGGAGCTTTGCTATGTGTGACTTACCTTATGAGAATCTTTTTTCAAAGCTGATGTATATAATTTTATTGTAGTTATTTGAGTTTTTTTTGTTGGTCCTTGAGTTTTAAATTAATTTTTTCAAAGGCTAGAGCATTCGATTACTATAAAGCATAGGGAGTCAAACACAAGTATTGTGATGATAAAAACATAAGACATGATATTTTTAAATGGTTTTCTGAGTTTCAAGTTTTGGTATTTTAAGTGGAAAATTTTTACATATGCTAAGAAAAAATTTAATGTATTTTAAAAAAATAATTTCAAAACTTTTAAAGGTTAAGATTTTTTTTAAAATTTTTTAAACCTTAAATATTAATAAAATTTCAAAAAAAAAAAAAAAGGAATGATGACAAATTTTATAGGGGTATCTAAAAAAAAATATAAAAATTTATCTTCTTAGTCTTAGTAAAACATTTGCACAATTGAATAAGTTACACCTTGGAAATCGCATGTAAAAATTTTGAGAATCACTCTAAAATTACATATGTAAATATGACTTCTTTAGGGCTTTCAAACAAATTTGAGATAATTCTAGCTTATTTTTTATTTTTTAATTTATTGTTCAAAAAAACAACATTGAAATTATTTATGAAAGCGGATAGTATTTTCATTAGAAATTATGAAAAATTTAATTAAAATACCAAAATATGAATTTCTTTTTAGGAATTTTGGTTAATACCAATGGTAAAAAAAAATATAATATTTATCCAAAACCTGATAGTTCAAAGATAAAATTAACTAAATTAATAATACATATTTTAATGTGCCATAAACTTAATAGTTTAGGAGCAAAAAATATCATTAACCGATTTGGAGAGGAAAAATTCAAGTTCACAATTTATTTTGCTTGACCACTACAAATATATGGAGATTAATGGAATGAGATACTAATGTTTTACACCAAAAATAGAGGAATTACCAAACTCACAACTGGTTACAAATAGACCTATTAAATGGAAGATTCTATCCATTTAATCTATACAAGTGGCAATTATTAATAAATATGATTATTTACTCTGACAAATTTTTTAAAGAATTCTGGTTCATTTAATCAAATTTTTGCAATTAATCATTGGATTAGCTAACTCAAATAATTAAATTATGAAGTAATTATATATTTAAACAGTTAATTCAATGGTGGATCAACTTAGACATACAGTCATGCATTTAGTTCTTTGATTATATATAAATATATACTCTCCATCCTAACCTGATTGGGCTGTGGACCTTACAGAAATCGAATTGGTAAGCCACTTTCTCTGGAGCAATTTTAAAGCATAGGTACTAATTATGATCAGGATCAGTATCCACAAGTGTCATTAGCCTTTTTTATCCTAAAAGGTTAGACTAACACAAGAATCCTGGTAAACCTAAGCCGCCCCTTTCAGCCCCAAAACTGAGGCCCCCTTTTCTCCTCCGTTTTCCTTTTCTTCTAAAGACAGAATTCAATCTACAGAAACCCTCATAGCCCAAACACTGTCGCCCCCTCCTTTCCTCCATATTCCCTTTCTTCCACATAACAGAGCCACCCATCACAGTTATAGCTTCACTCAACACCCAGCATCTCCATTCTCCAGACCTCCTTCTCTCGCATCTCCCTTTCTGTAGGTAAGAATTGAAATCAAAATGGCCTCTGTAAATACAATTCCAAAATAAATTCTTTAAAACATTTAATAGTTAGAAATCCAGTCATGAATTTTCCTCGTTCTGCAATGCCATTCCTTCATTTCCTCAATTTCTTGACCTGATCTGCGAGTCTTAAGGGCATTTTTTTTCCTTTGTACTGATTTTTATATGTGATGGCTATTTTCAAGTGGATTTTTTTTTTAAAAAAAAGTTAAATCTTTTGGGTGTTTAGTTTCTGGTTCAGATTGGTTTCATTGCTATGCTTTGCTTTTGTTTGAGACGTGTACGCATCAAAGATCTATGATTTTTTTTGGATTTAATTTTTTTTACGACCAGCATTTATTCTCTTGTTTGGCACCATCATAATTGCATAAAATTTATGAGTCTTATGGATCTTCATTATCTTCTCCATTAACTTTTTCTTCGCTTCGCTTTGCCTCTCTCAACTCAAATGTGTTTTAATGGGATTTTTCTTTTTTCTTTTTCTAATTCGATAATAATTGTCTTTTCAAAAACAAACTTACATTTTAGTTTAAGAGGCCAAAAACCAAAAGTTAATTGATCTCATCTCTGTGAAGCAAAGTTCAGTTTTTGGCTGCTCGGACAAAAAACCATCTCAATGAAAAAATATTTTGCCATCTTATATGCCTTTTGTTGGTCGGGGTTTATAGAGATATGAGAAGGGACTTACTAAACTAAGGAGCCAAACTTGTTTGAGATTAATGATTAATGATTAAGAGTAGTGCTATATGACATCAGTTGTTAAAAAAAAATCATTATAATTTTATAAGGATAATATTTTTTTAGAGTGATATAAGAGAGGAAAAAAAGTTGGATACTTTATTTTTGGAGGGAAAATAATATATAAACAATATATTTCAGACCAATCCTTGTTTATCGTGTAAAGTTTAAATTTTCAATTATGCTAATGATGAAGAGGAATTTAGAAAAACAATTACTTATAAACAATGTTTAATTTTAAGAAATAACCGTTGAAGAATATTTTAACACATAACAAGTCGATTACTGAAATATATCAATTTTAGCACATTATTTTAGCACGTTGAATTTACATTGATAGATAACTAACAATATTTAAAGCAATAAATTTAAGATAAATTTTTCATATTTTTAATATGTAAGGTTGAATTCCTAATTGACCAATGAATTACACACAATATTTTCATGGTAAGACATAACAATCTTAGATATACTAAGATATATCGGTTGAATTAAGAAGTATATTGTTTTTAACACACTCTTTCAAGACACTATATTTATATTGATGAATAACCAACAATATTTAAAGCAATAAATTTAAGATAAATCTTTCATATTTTTATCGTATAAGGTTTGAATTCTTAATTGGGTCGTGAATTATAAACAATATTTTCATGGTAAGACATACCAGTTGAAGAATATGCTAAGACATATCAGTTGAACTAAGAGATATATCATTTGTAACACATTCTTTCAAGACACCGCATTTGCACTAATGGATTTTTAGACCGAGTCCTTCTTGTTTATCGTGTCGAGTTTTGGATTCCCAATTATGCCAATGATGGAGATAAATTTAGAAAGATAATTATTTAACAAACAATATTTAATGCTAAGAAATAACAGTTAAAGAATATTTCCAATCATATAACGAGTCAACTACGAAAATATATCATTGTTAGCACTTTATATTGAGTTTTTTAGCACACTAATTTTACAACGATGGATAGATAAGAACTCATACGTTTCATTTTTAGGGATGATGAATACGGTGATTTGAATCTAGAAATTAAAAACTCAAATGTGAATGAATCTAGAAATTAAAAACTTAAATGTGAAAATATCAAGTCTGCAAAGAGGAAGAAGAATTTCACAATGATGAAGAAAATGCAAGTTTATTCATGGGGATAAAGAGTTTAGGAATTCTGAAACTTTTGAAGGACCCGAGGTCGGGATGGAATTTGATGATGTTGAAGATATATTCCATTCGTACCGAAGTATGCAAGATCAATTGGATTTCGTTGTTGTGAAGTCTTGTTCATAAAAGATTGATGGTGTTTATAAATTCCCAAACCATCTTGTGTTATTGTAAAAAGATTCGTCCCCATGTTAAGACTACAAAGGGAATTGGTTGTCTAGCAAAGCCGATAGCATCACTAGGCGGAGATGGGAAGTGGAAGATAAATCGTGTCATCAAAGATCACAACCACGAAATGGATACAGAGATGACAAGGTTTATTAGGCGACACAGGTCCGTCCCGCCATGTATGAAGAGACATGGTAGGTGTTCGACCAAGTAAGAATATCAAGTCTATTGTGGTGCAAACCGAAGAGTAGAGGAGATTCCTTGTCTAACTCAAGATTATAGGAATTTTATTGATCGGTTAAGGAGGAGAAGGCTCGGAGATGAAATTGATACTACGACTCTTTTGAAAATGTTCTTGAAAAAAAAAAGTGCAATAGAGATTTCTTCTACAAAGTTAAAAATAATGATGAAGGCGAGGTTGACGAATGTTACTATAGGTAGATGCTCGAAGCCAAGCTCGCTTATCAAGAATTTAGAGGCGTTGTTATGTTCGATACGACTTACTTGGTTAATCTATATAACATGCCATTTGCACCATTTATTGACATCAATCATCACTTATAATCGATACTTCTCGGTTGTGCTTTATTACACGTGAGGAGGTGAAGACTTTTGATTGGTTGTTTACGAATTGGTTACGTTTCATGGGCGATGTTGCACTAAAATCCATCATCGGCGATCAATGCAAGAGCATTGGTAAAGGCGTTACATAGTCTATGCCAAACACTAGACACAAATGGTGCTTGTGGTATATTCTAACAAAGTTTCTAGAGAAATTCAAGAATCACAAGAAGAAACATGACTTACGAGAAGCTTTCATGGGTGTTGTGTATGAAAGCTTGACAATCTAGGAATTTGAGAGTGGTTGGGATAAAATGGTTAAAGATTTTGACTTAGAAGGTAACAAGTGACTAGTTGAACCGTATAAAGGGAGACAACGATGGGTTCCGACTTTTGTGAAAGATGTTTACGGGCATGCATATCATCTACTCAATGGAGTGAGAGTATGAATGCTTATTTTGATGGTTATGTGCATTCTCGGACCACACTAATATAATTCGTAGAGCAATACAAAATTGCTTTACGAGATAAGTTCGAGAAAGAAAAAGATGCTGATTTTGATACCATGAATGTTATAGTTACGTTATGGACCAAATTCTCATTAGAGCTTCAATTTCGAGTGTTTACTCCAATTTGATGTTTCGTAAAGTACAAGTTGAGTTACGTGATATTAACTATTATGATGCGAGTGTACTTGAAATGAAAAGGTCCCGTTATCATCTAGAAAGTTTCGGAGAGTGTTTTTATGAAAGATGGCATTACAAAGTCTGTTGGAGTATGAGGTAGCATATAACTCTTCCAATAATGATGTATCTTATAACCGTAGGTCGTTTGATTTTAAAAAAATTATGTCTAGACATGCATTTAGGTTGCAGGTAAATAACAATGCACAAGTAGTTGTAGATAAGTATCTATTTAGATGTTGGAGGAAGGATGTAGCTAGACGTCATAACAAGATCACCACTTGGTTTGGTCGATGCGATGGCGTAACACAACATCTCGTCTTTAATTAGGGAGTTGGAAAAAATGTTCTATGAAGCGACTAATCTTGCCATTTTTGATGGGACATTGATGTCATTTATGAAGAAATCATTAGCAATACTAGTGTTGAGATGGAAGGTAATAACAATTAAACTAATGTTGTAGCTAATGAAGTGGTTGGTACACAAGGATGCATTGTGCTTAAGGATCCGATTATGGTAACCTACAAAGGCAGAGCTAAAGAGAAAGAGGCTGGTTTCTAGATAGAAGTATAAATCCATTAAAGCAAGGAAAAAAATAAAAAAATTAAAAATAATGCTACAGGACCTTCGAGTCCCTAATGTTGCGAAGCAACTTCGACGAGAAAACACTAAGTGTTTTGGAACACGACCAACTCGTAAACTTTATTAAACTTTTGTAAATTTGGATTTCGGTATGCCAATACTTAGTTCCAGCATGTCGAAATTGATAATGTATCGATGTACTCGCAACTAAAAAATGTTTATAGTGTTTTCGAACGCTAGTTAGTATGCTAAAAAGTCCAAATCCTTCATTTTTCAAGTTAAAAAATTCCATCTTTTTATTTTCGAATGCTAATAAGTGTGCTTGAAAGTTGATATCCTTCATTTTTTATTGCATTATCAAATGGTAGTGTATCAATTACATTATCAAATGATAGTTTGTTAGTATACATCAATTTGTTTTCTTGGATTCTTAAAGAAACGTTAAGTCTTTCAGTTAGTATCAACATTATTTTCACCATTATCAAATGATAGTGTATCAATTGTCATTAAATCATAGATATCACAAAAGTTGATAACTAAAAATGTCCATTAAATCATAGATATCATAAAAGTTGATAACTTAAAATGTCTATAAAATCACGAGATATCACAAAACGTCATAATTGATAAGCGTCATAATAAAAACATAAATAAAATTCCATAAAATAACAAAAATAGATATCAAAGATATCATAATCAAAATATAACAAGACCTGCATTGAAATCATTTTTCAGAATTGTCACTAATAGTGACAACGAAACCTTTCTTAGCCTTCCTCGCAGCTTTCTTCACATTCATGTTGCTATCTCCTTCCCCATAGCCCTTCTTGTAGCCTAGAGAATGAAGAGGACTCGGAGGTCCTTCTTCGTTGAGCCATATATTATATAGACACATCAAGGGGGCATGTCAAGCATTACGAGAACCATTGATTCCGTATTCACCAAAGCAGACAAGGGTTATAGGAACTCCTTCGACTTAACTTTCCATTCGTTATGATTGTTCTCGCTTTCAAAGAACAATGTCCGAAATGCTAGAGGGGTTCGTCGACTCTTATGGTTACTTATCCGTTCACATGAAATGAATCACAAAAAAAAAAAAAAAAAATCAGTTTGTTGAAAAATGTTATGAGAAGAAATTTAAAAATTGAATAAGATAAATGTTTTTGAATATATGTAACCGGGAGTTTGATAAGGGCTTGGGATGATTGAACGTCTTTTACTATTTATCTTGCTTCTTCCCACTAACCAATTTAGGTTAAGTGCGGTAATCTTATAAAGAGTTTCTAAAGTTTAAATAGGCTAAGAACTATACAACTATAGCCTCTTATAAGATTAACTCTGTAATAATTTTGTTTTTAGAGTACCGAGACAAGTTGAAGCATGCGTAATCGAAATAGCTTGTTTCCAAGGTGAATATGTAGAGCCTTTATTCCTTTCCTCATGTAAATTTGTTTAAATTTGAAGTGTCCCTTTCTTTATTCCCCGTTATCCAACTATTTGAAATTTTTGATGGTTAATGATAAGTAAAACGACTAGGCGTGTTTCTCTAATAATATAGCAATTGAAAATTTTAGTATGCTAAAATATCAATTTTTGTGCTGAAAATTGAGTGTCGGTGAAATTTTTATAATAAAACAACGCCATGTTTTTGAAATCTAACCTATATCATAGTAGTGGTCAATTTAGTCAATGGTCAATAAAATGATCATCTAATAGTAGTCAACTAAATTCATCTAATGGTCAATAAAATGATTATGTAATAGTATGTAATATCTTGATGATATCACGAGTAATGGTCTAATAAGTCAACGATCACGTAATAAGATATCAACAATCACATACTAATGTATCGATTAAATTTATCTCGATGATGATATCATAGTAATGGTTAAATAAGTCAATGATCACGTAATAAGATATCAACGATTACATACTAAGATATTGGCTAAATTCATCGCGATGATATCATAGTAATGGTCAAATAAGTCAATGATCATGTACTAAGATATCGATTAAATTCATCATGATGATATTATAGTAATGGTCAAATAAGTCAACGATCACATAATAAGATATCAATGATCACATACTAAGATATCGATTAAATTCATCACAATGATATCATAGTAATGGTCAAATAAGTCAACAATCATGTAATAAGATATCAACGATCACATACTAAGCTATCAACTAAATATTCCGTATTCACCATATAATGCATTCCCTTCCTTGTTATTTTAATTATACATTGTTCTTTTTTATAGATTTACCGTGTGATATTTCCGGACACTTATAAGCATACCGAACTTAGACAACGCGTTAGGTAATATTCTCAACATTGTTTTTGCAATATATATGTATGTAATGTCCGAAACTATATTATTAATTGTTTCACACCTATTGTTTCGAACGGAAAGAACGAGTGACCTTCGTAAATACTCGAACAACCCGGCTAGTTTTGACAATCTTAGAGACTTTATTGTAGTAAATCCATTTGGTCGAAACCTCTACAAGAATCGGATCGGCTTTATCGGACACTTAGAGAAAAAGAAAACAACTTATCCACCACTCGATATTGTCTCATAAAAAATAAGAAATGACAATCTTACATTTTAATTTTCCGGATACTTTTGTACATATTGTATTTGCCTTCATACTTATAATGACTTTGTGAATGATACTTATACTAGTTTAGTTGCAACTTCGTAATTGGCTTGTTTATTTATAATTTCATAATACAACTTGTGCCGATAATCATTTAAATGAATATCGGTGTGATGCGAACTTGACCTCTATGCTAATAATCGGTTAAATGGATTTCATTTCGTTGTCTAAACACTTATTAGCATTCGAAAACGATACTTTGGATTTTTTTAACTTAAAAAGAAAGGATTTTCACTTTTCAAAGCATACTAACTAGCATTCCGAAAACATCACTTTATTTTCTATAACTTAGAAACGCAGGATAACAACTTTTCAAGCACAGTTATTAACATTCTAAAAATAGTACTTTAAATTTTTCTAACTTGAAAACAAAGGATTTTGACTTTTCAACACACTAACTAGCGTTTTGAAAACACAACTTTGTTTTTTATAAGTTAGAAATGAAGGATAACAACTTTTCAAGCACAGTTATTAGCATTCTAAAAATAGTACTTTGTATTTTTCTAACTTGAAAATAAAGGATTTTGATTTTTCAGCACATTAACTAGCATTCCGAAAGCACCATTTTGTTTTCGGTAACTTAGAAACGAAGGAAAACAACTTTTCGAGTACACTTATTAGCATTCGAAAAGAATACTTTGGGCTTTTCTAACTTAAAAATGAAGGATTTTAACTTTTCAAGCACATTAATTAGTGTTATAAAAACACCACTTTCATTTTCCGTAACTTGAAAAACGAAGGATACCAGACTTTTTAGCACACTTATTAGCCTTTTGAAAATAGTACTTTGGATTTTTCTAACTTGCAAATGAAGGATTTTGACGTTTCAAGACACTAACTAGCGTTCTTAAAACACCACTTTGTTTTCCGTAACTTGGAAACGAAGGATAACAACTTTTTAGCACACTTATTAGTATTCGAAAAAAGTACTTTGGAATTTTCTAACTTAAAAATGAAGGATTTTGACTTTTCAACACACTTTCCGAAAAAACCGCTTTAGTTTTCCGTAACTTGAAAAATAAAGGATACCAACTTTTTAACACACTCATTAGCATGTTAAAAATAGTACTTTGGACTTTTCTAACTTGAAAATAAAGAATTTTGACTTTTCAAGACACTAATTAGCGTTACGAAAACATTACTTTTGTTTTTTTTAACTTGAAAAACGAAGGATATCAACTTTTCAACACACTTATTAGCATTCGAAAACGAGTACTTTGGATTTTTCTTCTTAATGAATATTTTTTGTGATCTTGGATCTTAAATTTCTAAACATACGAGGAAAAAATTTACACAACAAATTTATACATAAACAAGTACTTCCATTTCATTATCAATTACAAAACATAAATTATTCATAACCCTTCATCTCCATTATATCAAAACAAAAACTACAAAATAATAGACTCTCATCTCCATGAATACCCTATGTACACACCAATTACAAAGTAAAAAAAATCATCCATAATTGCTAGGTCGACATAGTGATGATGGCAGATTGATTTCCTCTATCCTTAGATGTATTTATTTCCGAAGGCCTAGATTCGGTATTGGATGCCATATTTTCATAAGTTTCTAGAGTTCCATGAACTTGTTATTGAAGTGCCAACATATGAGCTCGTAAATCTTTATGGATGATCACCATAAAAGAATCTCACATAAGATTTCTCGGCTTTGAAATGAGTTTTGAAACCCCGATATAGAGCTCTAGGGAAACCAATCACTTGTACTTCACAATCTTCCCATGAAAGATAAACCCCGGGAGCTCTACCCCTAAATACCGCATATGCTTTATTTCTAGCCATTTTTTAAGAATACTCCAACACCATAGATATTAGAAGAATGCTCCAATGGCGGGGATAACAAAGGGAAAAAAAAAAAACAAAAAGAAAGGAAGGGATGAATAGTTATAACAATTAATGCTAATATACATCAAAGGGAAAAAAGAGATGGTATGAGATTGGTTGAGTTGGCATCAAAAAAGTAAATAATCAATGATGCATGGTTAACAAAATCACTAACATAGATATTATAAATAAATTATTGTTAAAATTTGAAATTCAAATTTTGTTCTTCAAAATTACAAAACCCTAGTCTGAAATTTTCAATGGGGATTATGTCATTTAACTTTTTTACTTTTCAATTTTAACCCTAAAAACTTTTTATTTTTGAAAATGGTGTCCGTCACCATGGTGTGGCTAAGCATTTTTGAATGATTAATGTGTATGGTGGAAGAAATTGAACATCTTTTACTTGACCTTACCGCTTTTTAGTATTTGAATACTGCATGAAGTTGGTGTTTAACCATTTGCTTCAGTGCTTGAAAGAGCATTATCAAGAAATAGAAAGGAAGAAAATTGAGGTAGCTGCATTTAATGAATTGGTGAGGACGAAGCGAGAAATACAAAAGTGGGCATCCAACAATATGGGCAAGAAGGGAAATAACATAATTTGCAAAGATCCACCTAATGACAAAACAGAAAATACACGAACACAGTAGGGCGATGCTAAATAACACTGTAATAAAATGGTCAAAAAAGCGAATAAAAAAAACCAAGCAAAATAGTGCAGCTAGTACCGTAGAATGCACGTTAACTTTAGTCTTTGTGAGCAGTGCCATGTACAGTGATTAAGCTTTTTTTTTTTTTTTTTTGTAATTTCAAGAAAGGTAACCAAATTACTAGTTACAAGAGTCAAGAGACAACCTCAACGTGTTCGGGTAGTAGGTGGAATTTGCATGAACGAGGAGTCGTTCACAACTTGCACATTGATTGACAATTGACTTCCCATGGTTGAAATACAGCCATGGATTGGATCGTCTGTGATTGCATTTGGTTAATGTCATTCTGTGTGGTCTAAATTTCTCCAAAGTCAATAATCACTAACTGCGTTGTTTTTGCTCCCACTAGGTTTGCCTTAATGATTATTGGGCAAGAACTTCTGGCTGCCAGTACTAACCGTCCTAATATCTTTGTCACTCTTGAGAAACACTAACGTTAATTTTAGAGAAAATTAAACCTTTCTTCAAATCACAACCATAAAATTTATGGGATCTACATCCATTCGTTCAAACTTTAAAGGATGAGATTTTTCAAAACCAACAATATCTTTTTATGTTACTACTATTAGAATAATGTTATCAAAATTATATATGCAACCTTTCAATTAGATTGTTAGCTCATTAATTAAAATTTCCAATATATTAATGGATTATAGCTCAACTTAGTACTAATATCTTTTTTTTTTAGAAAAAAAGTCTCAAGTTTGAATAATTATTTTATAAAAAAAGAAAAAAATAATTTTTGCAATCATATTATTCGGTGGTTTCTAAACAGATCAATGTATGGGGAGTTTTTTAAGAACCGAGTAAACGATTAGTTGATAGACTAGTTAGAATATGAAGAGCTAGTGTTGTGATTTATAAAAGTAATGGTCAACTAACCAAATTGAATGAATGTAAGTAGTGAGAAGCATAAAAGAAAGAGTAGACAATGCTAGTGATTAGTGTATAATTTATATAATTTTTATTTCTTTTTTCATTGAATTTACTAGTACTTTATGTATTGTACTAAGCTAAACAAGAACACGATAACGATTTTATGTTTTGTAGAAAAAATGACAAACAAAGTGAATAAACCTAAGCTAAGGCACATGTGTAGTCCAAAAGCCTATGCCCAAGAATGATCTAATATAGACAACATGCAAAACTAGGTGTGAAGGAAATAGACACAAGATTGTATGTCATATAAGAGGAAAAAATCCTCCGGCGAGTGTAAAACTAAGAAGTAAACCGTGTGTTTGCTCAACTCAAGAAGACACGGGTAGTAAGCACAAGCATGAATTGTGCAAAGTAGATGACATGCATGTGTATGTCATTATGGTGTTGTCTTTGAAGGGAGAAAGAAAATTCACATGGGTAGAAACCAAAAGACACAAGATGGAGAGCAAATGTGACACGGTCATATGCCACCGACTACATAAGATTCTAAATTGTGTGCCATAGTTAAGCAATTCGTGTGCCATGATAGGTGTCCATATGAGGAGGTTATGTGTATGTCGAATCCTATTTTTGCATACATTGTAAGACTATAAATAGAGAAGTAAGGGTTTTACTTTAGGATATGTAGCCATAGAGAAAAATCCAGCTTTTGTAACAAAAAAATATTCAATTCTAAATACTCTTGCTTGGTCGAATGAAAAGTTAATGTTTTGGCTTAATCGTTGTGAGATCTAAATGAGTTCTACTTTTAATCTAATTCTTTTTGGGTATTTTATGTTTTTTCATTATCATTGAATATGATTGTGCTAATTGATTGATTAGAGTGCACACTAATTGATTAATCTATATAATCTATTGCTAGTTAAGAATTCAAGCTCATAATTACTTGTCTAATCTTACATGTGGTCGTAACTAGGGATTAATGATTATGGACATGTTTTCATTTAATTCCTTAAAGAGCATAGAACTAGATTAAATTCTTTAAGCTAGTGTGTGAATTATCCAGACTTCACTTATTTTTCTATTGCTTAATGTTATTGTTGAATTAAATCTAGGTAGCTCATTCTAGGTTGTTCAATAGTTAAAGATTAATTAAATAACTCGTTTTAACTAACAAATAACTAAGGAAAGATTAGGGATAACATAGCTCGTTGTTGTTCTATGATGAATATTCATAAAAGAATTGATTAATATTTGAATCAATGATCAATGATTGAATCAACGAGTGGAGAATATCCCTTGACCAAGACATTTAATACTTTTGTTTATCCCTTTGTTTAGTTTTGCTTTTTCTTATTACTTCCAAGAAACAAAAACTCTCATTCTTTTCTCTTTTACCTTGAAGCTATTAGACAACGAGATAAATTGATTGAACCAATTCTTTATAGGATTGACTCTTACTCACTTTAGCTACGGTTTCGTATTGAGGTTTAGTAAAGAAAAATAAATAGATAATTTTATGACGGTATGACACGCTATCAAATTTTAATGTCGTTCTTAAGAAACTACATTCAAATTAATTTTTATCTTAAAACTTTAATTTTTTCTTATTTTCTATATGAGGTTAGTCTATAACTAAATTTTCTCATACAAGTGACTTGATTTTTTATCCTAAATCGAAAAGAGCTTTCCACAGATTAAGGAGAAAAGTTAGATAGGCTTCGGTAGAACAAGCCGAAACATCTAAGAGAGTAGATGCTACTTTACCGAGCATAAATATAGCTCTCAAGCTTCGTTCTCTAGTGATTTTGAAAAGTTACCGATGGTTACAAATAAGAATTTGAAGGAGTTGGTTGCTCTCGATTTAAATCGGGAGTCTTTATGTATTGAATTCTTGAATCTAGATGTTGCTTTTGAATTAAAGTCGGAACTAATACATTTATTGTCTAAATTTTATGGTCTTGCCGGAGAAAATTCAAACCAATCCATCTTAATATCGAGCCACTCCATAAATGATTGAAAAAGAATAAGAGGATACAAAAAGCTTTGTATCCTCTTAATATCAATCTTAATATCGAGCCACTCCATAAATGATTGAAAAAGAATAAGAGGATACAAAAAGCTTTGTATCCTCTTGCCGGAGAAAATTCAAACCAATCCATCTTAATATCGAGCCACTCCATAAATGATTGAAAAAGAATAAGAGGATACAAAAAGCTTTGTTTCTAAGTGATAGATAACATCTATCCGATGAGTACTAATAATATTATAAATAGCTCTTCTCTTATTTGAACTACCAAGATCTTTATAATTCTAAGATACTATTGACATAAAAGGATTAAAAATTCTAGACCTTGATCTCTTGATTTATCAAATTAAAAAGCTTTTTTTCACTCCTTATCCTTCATCTCTCGTTTATTTGGTAATCCGATTGGAGATTTCTAGGTTAGTAGTTATGTCAACCACCCTCAAAGCTTCACCTATCTTCAAAGTCTCCTCTGATTCCACTTCATTATTCTAAATAGAATCTACTTCAATACATGGTACATACCTTAGATCTAATTCTTACATTGAAAATCATAACCATATCATCTTCACTAGTCTTCCCTATTGATCTATAATGCTTCCTCTACTATTAACCCTTTTATTTAATTTTTTCTTTTTTTACTTTGAAACCCTATGGACGAGTGGGATTTATTGAGCTTTCTCTTTCTTTCTTCTTTTGTGAATGATACATGAAACATTCTAACAGACTTAAGTCTAAACTTAAGTTATGTTCAACCCTATTAGTTTCATTTATATGTAAATTTATAAGCTCATCATTTGAAGCCATATTTCCTAAAGATTAATTGTTGCAATCCATTAGACTTAAGCCCATATTATTGATAATGCTACGACTTGGGACATTTAATGATATCATTTATGTACATTAATGTTTGTCTCACATCTTTCGATCAATCACTAATGCAAATGCATATCATATGAATTTTATCTAATTCTATTCAATAAATAAATATAATCTATAAGAATTAATAGAAATAATTATTTTATTATTAATAAAATAAATAATACAATGATACAATAACTTCAACCTCTCCAAACATGATTGGATCTTAGGCACATACACTACCAACCAAGAAACTATTAGTGGATCGAACCGATTGGGTGGTCGTTGGTCGATTAGAATCTACTACTCGATTGATCTATTGGAAAGGTTGAATCGACTAGAGGAGAGGCAGTGACCGGGGTTAGACCAACTATTATTCTTCGCTAGATCGGATTGAGTCGGGTTGGGCTATTATGACTTCGCTGGATTAGATTAAGCTGAGGCTAGGCTACTATATCTGCTTGGATCGAACTAGGCTACTATAAATCAATGAGCAGCTACTACAATATGGGTCGGGTGGTGGCTAGCTTAAGATGTAGGAGATTAAGACCAAACTATAGTGGTATGAGGTTGCTTAGATCGATTTCAAGTGTTGTTAGAAGGGTTGTTGAATGGTACTAATTTGCTTGGAGAAGGAGTTGTTATTGCGGCTATTGGTTTTATGTGGAGATTAGGTAGCGATTGGAGAAACTTTATGGCAATAGGATATCAACTAGAAGAGGGTTAGATCGATTAGAGATTTGGCGAGAAGGTTGTTGGTTCTATTTGGTTTGGCTGGTCGAGTTTTTAGGAGAGAAAGAGCTAGGCATAATCCAATTTTGAAAGAGAAAGTTAGTTAGATTTTCTAGAGAGAGTGGCTAGAGGGTTTTGAAGATAATTAGAGTATTTATACCGAGTTTTTAGGATAAATTTTAGTTTGGTTCATCACCTAATAACTTGTTTTACTTTAGTCCCTTTTTTGAATTGCATCCCTCAATTGTATTTTTCTATCCCTTTTCTTTTTTATTTTTTTTAAATAAATTTAGGTGCTAAAAGTTGTCTCCTTTTTACAAAGCTTACGACGTGGAGCCATATAAAAACTAACTTTCCTTAGCTTTGCATAGTAAGCTTATAAAGAAAATCATAGCGAGGACGATAAACAAACGAACATAAACAAACAAATAAATCAAT